AGTTAACTTACATAAAAAAGAAAATCATGATTTCAAAGTTATTCAGAAATCCAGTCTGAATTATTGAACAGTACAAACAGAGCAGGTTTGATGTAGTCTTTTTATATTATGTTTTACTCTCATTGTATATAGTCAATTGAGTTTCACAAAAGGTACCAAGAAATAGACTTTATTTAATGAAAATATTAAAGACTTTAATCACATTATGTGCTTTTTTTCCTACATGAATATGTACTTATGATTTCATCCTCTCAAGTAAGTTAGGCATTTCCATCCATACTGAGTATAATCCATACTGATTCCATAACCTAATTACAATCTTGATAAACCTAATACATCCTTTTCTCATAACAATTCTGGAGACAAACTTCAGATTTGATTGATTTACCACATATAACTTATTCCTATTGCCTTGGTGTGAATTATTTTGTACACAAGGATGTTCAACTTTAAGGAACTCTGGTGGTGTAGTGATTAAGGCATTTGGCTGTTAACCAAAATATCACTGGTTCAAACCCACCAGCCACTCTGTAGAAGAAAGATTAGCCTTGGAAACCCAATGGGGATTCCAAGAGTTGGAATTGACTCGGTGGCAGTAAGTTTGGTTTTGATGTTCAACTTTATACTTTCTTCTAGCAGCATCAGATAATTCCTATTGGTAGCATAAGATTACTAGTAGAGGCATTAGTTAAGAACCACATATAAACATATTCTCTAATTAGTATGCTACCACCCCACCACACTTTCCTCCTTGCCCTGGAAAAACTTCTTCCTTTCTTCATACAAGGTCAAGGCTAATGACAATATTCATGCTTACAAGAGAGAATAGTCATATACTCATACTCTTGATATGTGTGGCTCTTCCCCTCAGAGTATCTCAGGAGGACATACCATTCACTTAGTATCATTATGGAAACTAGGTAAATCCAGTAACCCCAGTCTTCTGTGTCTTTCTTTGTTTCTTTCTTTGTTTCTAACTCCTGACATTGGAGAAATACCACCCACCCACCGAAGGTGTTTTGTCTAGGCCTTTGTATAAGCTAATACTTCTTCCCTGAAAACTCAGAAGAAACCTTGAAGGGATGGTCAAGTCTGAGTGGACAGAGGGAAGTTCTCTTTTCACTGTAGTCTGGACAAAGAGATACATAATTTTTGAATCTCCCTTTGGCATTTGAAGCTCATTTTCCCATTGACATTGAGAACCATAGGATTATGGGGTTTGTTTCAACTAACTACTTGTTATTACCAATTTCTTGTGGTTCAAGTTTTAAACAAATTGCAGTTACAAACTCAAGGTGGAACATCATTGATTGATTAATTAGCTAGGGACTATTTATAAGCCCTGACAAAAGTCATTTGATTTATAAAAAGTCAATGCACAGTACAAACAAAATTATTTGAACTCTAACAATCTTGAATTTTCAGTTCAGTTTCCAATTCTTCAGTCTTTTCTTAAAAAAAAGAGAGCTCTTCCTTCCTTTCCTTACATAATCTGTAACAGTTTTATCTACTATTAAACTGATACAATGCAGCAGAGAAAGTCTTTGAACATTCAGGAGGGACAAGCCATGTGTCAATACAATAAGTACCTTCGGGTCTTGTACTCTGTAGGCCTTGATAGGGATTCCTAAACATATTCCTTATGTTTTCTGCAAATGTACTTGGGTAACTGTTTGTGTAAATAAAGGGGATAAAGATCATAAGTGTGTGTATTTGTCTATGAAATATTTTGGGAAAGATGTATGAAATACCTGGTAAAAGAAATGGGTTGCCCCAAAACAAAGATTAGAATGATGGCTACAATTCTTTAGCATTTTGTACCATTTCATTTTTGTCCCATATGAATGCCTTAACTATACAGATAAATACTTATTATTTTAAAATTAAATATATATATATATATATATATATAAAATGAAAAAGTCCTTGGATAGCCCAAGCCCATTTTCCTTCCCCCAGAATCACTACTGAAGGAGATGATTAGTAGTTCTGACTCTCATGGAATGACTAATAGTCAATGTCCATTATAGCCCTCTTCACTTGCCTTGGCTCATGGAGAAGAAGAGACAAACGATAACTACTTTACTACTACTAGCTGGAGAGCTGTATGCAGCCCTAGTGACACAGTGTAAATGACAAGCGTTCAGATACACAAATTGCCTTCCTTACATATGAACATTTTGAAAAGCAAGTGCCAGTGTGAAACTTGGGAGGCAACAGTAATGTGTTCTTTAAGCAACAGTCATTAATATCATTACTCATATGTGGAATTCATTGAGAGTTTCCTGGAGAGAGAGCTTGATTTAGGGATCAGGGATCAGCTGGTGAGGCTGACACTTAGAAAAGACAAGCCAAGCATTCACACCCCAGATCACTCAATACCAGCATTGTCTCCAATCCATCCTTCATAAGGGGTTCCAGAAGGGGGAGGGGACAAAGGAAGGAGAGAAAATCAACCTTTTAATGCTATAAAAGAAAGTGCAGAAGGGAGAAAAGAATGAACAAGATCTGAGTATGAAAAGCCAGTTACCAGGAATGTTTAGTTTTGAAATCAACTTTGGCTTATAACCTTGGACTTCACTGCGAAGTTTCCTCTCTGTTTTACATTCCTCATCCCATCTTTCAGTGTCCCCCACCCTTTTCCTAGTC